GCCCTGTTCTGAATGCCGCCTAGTGCTATAAGAAGAGAGAGGAGATAAAATAAGAAACCAGAATGGAAGATCCTCCCTGAGCACACTTGATCTGGACAGTAAGTACATAGATTTCTGAGAAGGGCATCTCCCTGAAAGTTTGAGTTCAGAGTCAACTGCTACTGAAGCCAATAAGAAAAAAATTTTAATGTCTAATGAATGACCTTATTCTTATGCTAAATATGTTTCTCTTTACCCAGCCTCAACTATCTGGGCAATATTTCATAAAATAATATTGCCCAGGGAATGAAGGGGGGGTCTCCAAAATGTCCAACAAGAAAATACATAATTTAAAAAATGGCAGTGTGTAACTAGCAAAGCGTTCCCTAGCTACTTACCTGTCAGAGGATTATAGATCCCGTGGTGACCAGTGAAGGGAACTGGAGACTAAGGCTTTGTTAGTGCTTGTTTTGTACTGTCTGAGGCAAAGAGATGCTTCTGGTGGATGCGGGGATTCTGGTGACCGGGGAAGTCCAGTACAGAATGGAATGGGGAAAAAATATCTTCACACGCTTTCAAAGTCATTGAGAAATGTTTCTCAAGAGGGAAGGAAAGGAAAGGAAACAGTATTCTTGGTGTGGTTGGCACTGTGCTACGTATCTTGTAACTGCCCACAAACCTCAAGTGTGTACCCGTAGTGGACGCTGGGGAGCCCCACCAAGATCTCTTCAAAGCAAACGCAGCCCGGCTGGGATTATAGGCTGCTGGAGGCTCACATCTGTACCTCTTACTAGAAAGTGCCCTCAGTTACAGCAAACTACATCACCCAAGGTTATACACCATCCCAGGGGACCACATTTGGCCAATGACTGATTGGATTGAGGGTTCAAAGGCGCAGCCCCTCTCTCTCAGTTTGGGACACTGAAGGGCTGTCCCAGATCAGGTGCTCATCCAAGTTCCTCCGTTGCAGCCCTACTGCACGTCAGCTTACCCCTCTGCCCACTTTTCTTACAAGTGTATCCTCACTAGGCCTCTCCTTGCAACTCTCCATCTCAGAGTTTGCTTCCAAGGATCCAATCTAAAGCAGTGCTATTATCTCCATCATCCAGATGACAAAACTGAGCTTCAGAGAGTCTTATCAACACGCCTGTGGTCACACAGCTGATGTGGGAGCTCTGATTTGACCTGAGACTGTCATGTTGTTCTCAGATTAACTCTGCCAATCATACATGTACTATCTTTTTTCTGTTCTTCAATGACTTTAGTGCATTGGAAAGATTAGACTTGAAAACTCTTACCACTACAACGTAATAGTACAAATCTTGTTTGTGTATTGGTCTCAGTGTGTCTAGCAATGTGAACTTGTCTCTAAAAGGATCCCATTCTAGGGGAAGGGATAAAATAGTTTGTCACTTTGAGGTCTTGCCTAACAACCCCAGCCTTCTGTATCATTTTGCTTACTATACCATATGTTCTGCAGCCTTTCCAGGAGGACCAAAGCAAATCTCTGGATTTTCCGTTGCAGCTAAGTTATCTCTGGATATCTCTAGACTAAGAAGGAGCAGCTTCAAAGCAGAAGAGGGAGGTGTGTGGAGAGGAACGCTCAGTTTCAAATTCTGCCAGCCCAGCCCATCAAGGTTGTAGGCAAAGGGGATGAGAACTAGTGGTGCCTGGGGAGCCATGGGCACACTGAGAGCTGCATCTCCAGACTCTGAATTTCTAATGCAAGGACCAGCAGACTGATTTATTAGATTGACCTCATGGATCTATATCAGACAAATCTCTCCTTCGCATTAGGATCAACAATCCCAGGAATTGCTTTAATATTAGAAAAAATATATGGCCTTTTTATGACTGCCTTTGTGACTCTCAGACAAACAATGACAGAAAAACAGTCAGTTTTCTGTAACAGGAGATGGAAAGAGATTCTCTGGTCTTATCTCCATTTTAAAATCTCTCAATTAAGGTGCCTCATTAGCGCAGTAGGTAGCGTGTCAGTCTCATAAAATCTCTCAATTCTTTTGGCTTATTTTTATTTTTAAATTATAAAACCCATAACAGCAATTGTAAATTGGATAATAAAACAGAAGAATATAAACTAATAAGTAAAAGTTCCCTTTGAATTCTTTTCCAAAGCCACTCCTCCAAAATATTACCTCCAGGAACAGTTTGAAGTATGGTCGTCCAGACTTTCCTCCTTGCTTTTTCAAATGTGCATACATGTGTACATACAGCTGTGAACACACATGCCTACACACACACACACACACACACACACACACAGAGTTGTAACATAATATGATTATGTTATACAAATTATTCAGTGTCTTGTTATATAAAACAACACAATGCACTTCTCATGTAATAGTGCAACCCAACACCACATAATTATTGAAAACAGCAACAGTAATAATAATAGTGGTGAGAAGCATATGAGTAGACACTGTTTCAAGCACCTTTCATCTATTAACACATTTACCCTCACTTTCGGTTTATAAAGGAGAAAACCCGGGCCCCTAGAGAAGTTATTAAACTTGCCCAAGGGCACATAGGAAGTGGCAGAGCTGGGATTTGAATCCAGGCGGTTATGGTTCTAGAACCCTGTCCTCATCATTGAGTCAGGGACAGCTGTGTAATCAGTCAGATCAGGGAATTGTGAGAAGATGCCCTGGGTGCTCCTAAGGCAGGGGAAGACTCACTGCAAAGTCTGGCACCAAAGCCTGAGATTCCCAGACACCCAGTTCATAGAACTGGGAGCCTGACTAGACACCAGGCTCCTCTGGGGAGAGCTGTCATGGCGACACAGTGCAACAGGACTGGTCTAGGAGACTGAGTCTCAGGAATAAAAGCTGAGGAAAAGATCCCAGTGCCTCCATTCGTTGTAGCCTTTAAAGACAAGCACACAAGAAAACGGGGTGTTACTCTGGATTTTATTATGATTTGGAGGAGAAATGGAGTGTAAGAAATTTTTAAAATTGAAAACACAGTGGGCATTTAGCAAATGGTGGGTGGATGATGAATGGATGCATGGATGATGGATAGATGGATGGACGCAGGAACAAATGGACAGATGAAAGAAACAAAGAAGAGCAGAAGAAATGGCTTGGATTCTAGAAATGAGCCAGAGTCTTAACTTACCTTGAAAGACTGCTTCTCCCTGGCCCACATCCAGAATTCTGTTCCAGCAACTCTCATGCATTTCTGATTTGGGAATCTAACTGTTACCACACAGGCCTCCTGACCGCTGAGCCTCAAAGTCATTTTCCCTCCGGCCAGTTCCCTGTTTGATCTTTCTTTTCTTTCCTGCTAGCCTTCTTTCTGGTTTTCTTCTACTTCTTCAATCTTCCTTTATTATTTTTGCTTGGTTTCCTTGCTTTAATTTAAAATGTAGTACTTACTCAATATAACCAGTGAAACAATGCAAAAAGATGTATAAAGCAATGTCCCCTAATGCTTCCTTTCTATTCCTGCCTTTCTGGGACAACCAGCATCAACAGGCTGCTATGTGTTTTTCCATCTCGACTCATACTCAAAGAAATGTGCACAAACCGATAATCATATGTAGACAAGTTCTTTGGGGCATTCGAGCCCCAAAAGTAGAACCATATTATACACCTTGTTTTACAACTTTTTTCTGAGTATATCGCGGAGACCCCTCCAGGTTGAGAGACCTAGATACAACTTATTTTTTGTTTTGTTGTTGTTAAATCTGTTATTCTTTTAAATAAAGTACTACACAGTAAAACTGACCTTTTTAAGAGTATACAGTTCTATAATTTCAGCACATCTATGTATTTATATAACCACCGCCATGGTATGGATACACATTTCTGTTACCTCAAAAAAGTTTTGCTCTGTAGTTACACCCTCCTCCCACCTTTAATCCCTGGCAAGCACTAATCTGTTTGCCAATAGGACAGTTTTGTCATTTCGAGGATATTATATAAATCACTCAGCATAATGCCTTTGCATTTCATTCAAGTTGTGTGTATCACTACTTCACTCCTTTCCATCACTGAATAGTAATCCCACACTATGGAAACACCACAATTTAGAGATACTTATTCTTTTTAATGACTGCAATATATTCCATAATGAGTATAGAACAGTTTATTCAATCAGTCTTATATTGTGGAATATTCATGCTGGTTTTGAATTTTTCCCCAAAGATTGGAATAAACATCCTTGAACATACATTTTAATACAGAGATGCTTTCCGTTAAATAAGACGATTCTTAAATGTAGGGTTGCTAGGTAAAAAGTGTGAGTGGTTTATTTTTAACAGATATTTAAATTTTTTCCAATATTACTTGTTGTCACATTTCATATTCCCACCAGAGATATATGAAAGAATTTCTTTCCTCAGATTTTTGTCAGCTTGAGATAATTTCTCCTTTTAGGTTTTTTTTCCCCAATCGAATGGATAAAAAAATAGTACCTCGTGTTAACTTTAATTTACATTTCCCTGAACATTCTTTTGAATGTCCCTTGGCCATTTGCATGCGCTCTTTAGTGAGGGGCCTACTCATAGCTGTTGCTCAGTCTTCTACTGTATCCTTTACCTGTTTCTTCGTAGTTTACGGGAGGTCTCTGTATATGAGGAATATTAATATTTTTTCTGTTATATATGTTATAAGAAAATTCCCTAGTCTATAGATTGGCCTTTGATTTTATTTTGTTCTTTTGCCATATGTTTGGTTTCACTGTTCATGTGGTCACATGTCTATCTTTTGTTGTCAGTTCTGCGTTTACAGACTTGTTAGATTAGAAAGTCATCCTCTACCAAAGTTTTTTTTAATGTTTTAAATACTTTTTTCTCAATATTTATTTTCCTTAACACATACAAACACCCTAAGAGTTAACCATTATCTTTCCCATCCCTCTTTTATAGATAAGGGTACGGGGGCTCTGAGGGATGGCATCACCTGCCCAAAGAGGCACATCAAGGGAGGTTCACAGCAGTGGTTGGGCCCCAGTGGTCCCACGCAGTGCCCAGGGGCTTACCCACCAAGCTCACTTACCTCCTCCTTCATCAGCTCCAAGTCAGATGCCGAACTGTCTTTAGGGAGTGTTGTCCTCGATCATCTACACAGACTGAGAAAAAAAAATTACAGATGAGTGGCAAAGCAAAAGGAGTGGGACTCAGAGCCCACTGCTGCTCAGGGATGCACCCAGCAGCCCTGATGTCAAAAACCACAACTTCGGAAGGTAACAGCGAGGATAGGAACTGTGCAAGGCCGGCGGGGAGAGAAAGGGCAGCTATCTGCTTTAGGGTGTGGGGGAAGCCATGGACACAGGGGAAACAGCACAAACTTTGGAACCAAACAGACCTAGGAGAATGGCAGTTCTGACTGTTTCTAGCTGGGTGACCTGGGTCAGGTTACTTAATCTTTCTGAGCTCTCTCTCACCTGTAAAATAGCAGTAACAGTATCTGTCTCTTAGAGAGACATCTGTCATGATGCCTGGCACATAGTAGGTGAATATAAAATGCACTTTTCCCTGCCCTCTAAGGCAAACATTGAGCCAAGCCCAAGAGAGGGCAGCCAGTCCTGCCGACGATGCTTTTCACAAGGTTAAGGAAGCAGAGTTGTGAACCCAAAAGGCACGGGGACCTGTACACATACAGCCTTCAGGCGTAAGAGTTGCTAATATTTACATAGCACTGGCCATGTGCAGGTACTTCTGTTAACTCATTTAATCTTTACAACAACTCTATAATCTAGGTACTATTATTATTCACATTTACAGTTAAAGAAACTGAGTCACAGAGAGATTAAGCAACTTACTCAAGATCATAGTCGGTTAATGGCAGAACTGGGATTTGACCCCAAGGAGTCCAGCTCTAGCATCCACACCCTAAACCAACTTGCCATGCCATGGAAATCTCTATCACACTACACCACACCACACCATACCATTCTGTATCACATACGTCTATCCAAAAGCACTACCGGAGACTCATGATTAGCTAAGGATGGTAATTAGAGTGAACTGGGGGAAATGGGCTAGCTGACGTATGAGCTGAGACTGAGGGATGGGTGTTGAGGTCTTCAGCAACCTTGAGCAAAGATGATCCTGCAATCTGCGGTCCCGCTGAGAGTCTAAAGTGTGCCATTTCATTTCAAGCCACGTGAAAGACCGCTTCTTCTGACAGCCCCCTATGGAGCAGACCCAGCAACTGTCAGGGCGTTTTGTAAGCAAGCCGCAAAAATCAGCTCTAGCTAACTTAATAAGAGGGGAATTTATTGGAAGGATTTATGGAGAGGCTCAGAGAACTGAAGGAAAAACTGAACAACCAGAGAGAATGTGAACTGGAACCACTCTGGGCGTTAAGGTACCAAGAACTAGCAGCCAGTCCCTTCTGCACCCCGCCATGAAGATGAACAGATTCCAGTCATTTCCCATCCCCTGTGTTAATCTCCTCAAGATTCCAGAGAGCATCTGATTGGGCCGACCTGGGGCTTGTGCCCACCTGTGGCCAGAGGAGGAAATGGTACTACGGAGCTGCCGGTGATAGCCCACATCGTCCTGCTCACATGAGTTTGCCTGTAATTTTGGTAGACAGTGGCCAGCCCACTAACAGCATCTCATTACAAGATCCTGAATCTCTCTTCTACTCTCAAAAAACAGAGATAGGAGTCAGCAGATGAATTCCCCTCCCCCTCCCTAGCCTCAGGTGGGATGACTCTGAGGCACATCCCAAGTGATTTTTGAGAGGTTCCTCAAGCAGGCTCGGTCGTCCGTGCCATCAGTAATCCACTCGTTAGCCCATCCTACACTGGTTTATGCCCCTTTCCCACTCTCACTTTCCCTGCTTCCTTAAAAGTACTTCTAAAGTCACCTTCCAAATAAACTACCTGCACTCAAGTCCTCTGCCTAGGCTCTGTTCTGGCTGAAACACAAATTGAGAAAAATATTAATTTATTTATTTGACAGCGCCACCAACGTGCTATCCAGTGTGGGGAGAGTAGTTTTCCCAAAGAAAAAGCAGGGTGCTACCACCAAAAGATAAAAGAGGTTGGACAGAAAAATAAAAGATCCCGAGTGCACACAGCTGTATCGGCTTTCTCTATACAGGCATCCCGCCTGAGAATCACCACCCGAAGCTTTGTCTGCCCAACCACGTCAATGTGAATCAATTCCTCTTCGAGCTCCTCGAGGCTGGACCTGAGATACTCAGACAGAGGAAAAGCCCAACACAGACACTTTAATGCGCAACGGGAAGGCCCTGGAGGCCTGTAAATCAGGTAGCATTACGGCTGTCGTGGACAATGTGGGGCAATGCATCTGTCCCTCTCATCCTCCGTGATGAGGAGACAGCAAATCGCTCCTTGTCACCATGCCGACCTCTAGATCATTCTGCAGCATGTCCTGGGTACTTAGTAGCCTGGAGACTGTCCAGCCTTCTAGCCCTCACTGATGGCCATTCACAGCACACAAGACACTTAAAAATTCATGACAATAAGAAAAGGGCCAGAAACTCAGGACCCAGGGGATCAAACTCTGAAATCCTTAGGGTTTCAGCAGGAATCTGCCTTGGCTCCTGGCTGATAGAAGCTGAGGCTGCTAATGTCTCCTGAATAAACCTCAGACCTATTCCAGAAAGTATTCGGAGTGCTGACTGCTCACCTGGAGCATGGATGGACTTAGAGTGCAGAAATGTTAATGTTCTTGCCCCAGAGAGCTCATCACAGACCTATAAACAAGCAACTACGGCATAAGCAATATGCATTTATTCAAGGACTATTTATTGAGTTATATTTGTTGTATTTATATTAATGTATTGCTCACACATCTATGGGTAGCTGGGTTTTGATTGATCTAGGCTGGGTTGGATTCAGGGGTGCTGAAAATGTCTCTTCTTTTTTCTGGGATGAGCTGGATTCTCTGGGCATTTTTATCCTATGGTAATGACAGGAATGCAAGGGGGCCAGTCCAACCACACAGGTACATTCCAACCCTGTGCCTGTATCATGTCTACTAATATCCCAGCAGTCAGAGTAACAAGGTCAAGGGGAAGCAAAGTGCATTCTACCCACCACGAGGCCGTGACAAATGGATGAATAATACTATTACAATGGAAATGAGAATAGAGGGCCAAGAAGAAACAGGCAGCCTCATGAAGATTGAAGAAGGAAAGGAATTGTATATGGACTCACAGGTGACAGAAAGAGGGAACAGCTATGACAGGGGCTAGAGAAACACACAAGATGGGTACCCAATCCAGCTTACATGGGTCTATGTGGGCTTTCGTATCTCATAAAGGTTTCCCCTACACTCCCTACCCTTCTAAAGACCTACCCCCAAACAGAATGAGACTGAGCTACAGATGTCCAACTACTGAACACAGGGACCAAGGGCTAACATTCTCTCTGTTTTTCTTTATTCTCAGGTCACGGTCACACCTAGGATGACATTAGTGGCCATCAAAGAAACAATGTCAAACAAAAAAGAAAACTGTTTCAAGCAAGTGGTTGGAGCAGAAACCAGGTCACAGGGAATTAAGGTTGTAACAACATGGTCTCCACCTAAATTTACTAGCGATGAAAGATGAGGGGGAAAAAAAGAGAAGTTAGAAAAATGTACCATTCCAACCGCAGGGCATTTGCACGTGATTTCCTTCTGCTGGGACTATGTTTCCACCAGACCTCACAGAGCTCCTCCTTATAATTCAGATCTTAATTCCACCATCACCTCCTAAGAAAGACTTACCGTGACACCTCTCTCCTCATCTAAAGCAACCCTGCCCCACTCCACGTCACTCTCTAGCATAGGTTGTCTTCATTGCATTTATTAAGACCTGGATTGGTCTTTTTTTTTTTAATTTTGTTTGTTGACTTGCTTATTATCTGTCCTCCCCACTGGAGTGGGTTTAGGTACCTCTGATCTGTCTTGTTCACTGTGCCCTCACTGCCTTCAGTGGTGCCTGGAACATGGTAGGTGCTCAAAATAATTGTTGAATAGATACATTGATGGATGAATCATGAATAACTTTGGAAACAGTGAAGAAGAAGAGAAAGTGGCAATGATGAAAGAAAAGAATGTAGAAAAAAAAACAAGAATAGGAAAAAAAAGAAAAGAATGTGGCAAAATTGACAATAGCAAAGAAAACAGATAAGGAAAGGGGAAAAGAACTTCAGAAGGATACCGCAAAGGGAACAAAAGAGTTAAAATCTGCAACTGCTGCCCAGATGCTTAGTGTCTGAATAGGATGATCAGGAGGAATGGTGCTTAACAAGGGTCTTGCATCTCATTTGCATCCCTTTATCCATCAAAATCTGACCAAGAGGCATCGAGTTGGAAATTGCTACACATTTTGCATTCTTCCTCTGTGCTGAAAACTATTACAACAATAGCTCAGAACCAGCCCTGCAGGAATAGAAAGGTCAAAAGACAATCTGTTTCTTGTAAATAAATAGTAATAAATTACCATGTTTGAATACACTCAGGAACCCCGCTGTGCTGCAGTGCCACTCTGGATTAGAGTCTCTTGGTGACAGCCCAGGAGCTTGGGGGCCTGAAGGTCCCGACTGTTTGCCTAAATACCGTCCCCGATTTTAACTCTGGCAAATGGCTGCCTCCTCACCATTAATTCTCTTTCTCCTTCTGAGACTCGTACTGGAATTCTAATTCTTAACTTTTCTCTTTTCTTCCAAAGACATATCCCTCCCAGATGCTTTCTGGGGGAGTTCATTGGCTGAATCCTCCAGTTCACTAATTTGTCCTTTAGCTGTATTCATTCTGCTGCCTAACTCACCACTGACAAAATATCTTTTGTTGTTTACAGTATATTTTTCATGCCCCCAATCACCAGAGTTCTTCAAAACTTTTTTATTCCTATGTTCCTAAGATCTTTGCTTATTTCTCTTAGAATATTGTTTTCTCTTATTTTAATTCTTAAGAATTCTGGCTAAATCATTATTTCTGCTCCTTATGGTATAGATTATGGAATTTGGTGTCTTGCTGTATTTTCCTACAAACTTATATTCCTTTGGAACCTTGGCTATGATGCATAAAGGGAGATGGGGTTGGTGGCAAAATCCTTGACCCTAGTTTGTACTCCTCCTGCTGAACTGGGCTGTGGGAAGGATCT